TGGTCTCGTCGGGTCGAAATGAAAAACCTACTACTACTGTATTTGACGGACCTATTGAAGATGGCACAAAGAATTATGACTTCTCCTGGACCAGGAAATCTGCCATTGACCAGAGGAAGGATTTGATCTGCTGCTCGGATTTTAGCGTTAGACGCCAACCTTGCAGTCAAGATCAGGATGGATACGTCGCCTCAGCAGCCCACAGTTCTATGTCGCACCCAGCAGCCTTCCTTCCACTATACCGCTGGCTGAATTTCAATTATCGAGGTTTGTGAAGTATTTGTCTTGTGCCGCTAGCAATCTTCAGATGTGACGTTAGACGTTCGTGATGATGTGTTGGCTTTCACTTGGCGTCTACTTTTCACCTATCTTTGTCACTACCTCAGTACCATTTGTGACGTGTAAACTAGCGCAACCTGTGCTGTGATCTACAAGCGTCGTATGGTCTCGTCGGGTCAAAATGAAAAACCTACTACTACTCAAAATAACGTTAGCCAAGTCCTATGCTGACCTTTCACTCAAACTTCTAGTCAACTTCCCCATCCATGATTCCCCATGATGCAGGTGGTTTATATTGGGCATATAAACCTGATGCGCATATAAACCTCATATAATACCACCACAATTAAAACTCCTTTTTAGAGATTGGGAGGAATTTGTATGAAGGTCAGCATAAGTATTACATCCCCCTCAGTAGTACACTTGTACTTGAAAGATAAACCATCATACATGTACAAACCTCGGGCCCGGCTGCGCCACGGTTTGTATACTATCTGAGTCGGTTTACATTTCACGTACAAGCCTACTGTTGGGATGTATTATTTTGACTGCTTCAAGTAGTAGGTATAGCAAAAAATCTCAGATGATGGTATGGGAGTCAGTGATAATACCAAGTACATGTACACCACATACTTGCAAGTGTAGTTTTACTTTACCACAATGACGCAGACCATACCAAAAAGGCAAAAACCCTGCCCTTCAGTGGCTTCATAGCCCATACAAGCCAGCATTCCACTGGTCTGTGCCTTGGAATGTAGCTTGTGTTCGGCTTGATGGCGCTTACCTTCCCCTCTTTGAAATTATCACTAATATCCACGAATCTTCCAAGTAACTTAGTTGGAAGCCCGTTGGTTACCAGGCTGCACTATGGAGCAGTGCTCAAGCTCACTTCCTTGCCGTGGAATGTCTCAGTACTCCATGTCAGTCTGCCACCGGGTGCTACGTTATGTACTCTTGGTGCTACCTTGCCGGTGCGCGTCTGACTGTTCAACATCGATCTGGTTTAGTTGGTAATGACTTTAACGCATAACTTGTGCCCCACTTGAGTCCTTGTTTCCTTCCAGTAAAATTTTCCTTGGCTCGCCATCCGAGTACTTCTCTGTGTTAAGAATGTGCTTTCCTTGAAATTCATCTTTGCTGTTTTTCCATCTAAATGTTCAGCTATTAACTGGTAGGGTACAGCGGATAATGCCGGCATTATATTCGGCATTATGAGAGTATCCGAGCACCAGAGCATTATGGAGCACTAGAAAGGAACAAGACGAGCATTATGTGAGGTTTGAGCGGCATAACGAGTTTCCTAGTGGATAATGTCGGAAATATATCACTTATCAGGTTTTTGACAACAATCGGCTAAAGTCATGAGGTGCAACGTCATGAATATTGTATTGTACCGGCACATGACTTTGTGATTGTGTACACAGGTAACATCTTTAGCACCAATGCTACATTTACCTGACTACATACATCGGTAATGCCATTGCTACATGAAGTCTTTATCATATGTAGCAATGTGGTCAGGTAAATGTACAGGCGATGTAGCATGCCCAAATTGCAACTCAGGCACTGAGTGAGGCTGTTACACAGAATCCGTAACGATGATTTACGAGGAGTTCTTTTTTTTTTAGAAATCATGGAGAGCCATGGAGGAGACTAGACGTACGCGAAGTGAATATCAAACAGACGAAGAGGAGATTTCCTGTTATGCCATAGGCTCTGGCCAAAGCATCTCTACTATTCTCTAGCGATACTGAAGTAAACACTGGTCCATTGATATTATTTGGACCTGGATGAAGGAGCGGCTATATTATTAAACAGAAAGAACTAACTTGTTCCAAACAACTGCCTTTGCCGAGTCCAGCTCAGCAGGCTCGAAAAGAACTAGAATTTCTCATGGACGCGGTACCAAGTCGATTTGAGTGCTCAGGAGCGCGTGTCTTACTTTCCTGGTGAAGCACATACAGTTCGTCGTGGACGATTGTAATGCAAGGCCTACAAGTACAAGTACAGTCAAGTGCTATCAGAAAAGAAGAGTATTATCATGATTATGGCCAACCATTTGTCTCCACGGAACCCCAGGAGAAGAAGACAGCGCAAGCAGAGGATGTAGAGCGGCAAAATAACTTCTGACCACGTGTTTTCAGGATTTCCGCAAATCGGATCTCGATCTGAGATCGTCCGGCTCTCAGGAACTGGCCTCACGTGAGCTGTTTCAGATGAAGACATTTTGTCTGCAGGCATGAATACCACTTCCCATGATAGGCTTCCAGCATGCAAATGATCACCAGCAATAATGGTTTCACCTCTCACTACATGGATAAGCAAGGGAAAAGATTTGATACACCCACTGTTCAGCCACAGCCCTGCATCAAAGTTGCAATGGAGAGCAGTCAATGGAGACGCGATCATGTCTTATAGTGCTAAGAAGTGGTGGAGTTCGTGAGAGATATTGTAGCAGCTTCAGAGGCAGATCGGCTAAATGCATCCTTTCCTGGAATAAAGTTTGACAATGTGCAGCATTTCTTCCATTTTTGTTCCAAACCAAGAGCATTATAGCCCTTGTTGAAGCATTATAATCAGCATTACAGGGTAGTTTTTGGAGCACTATGATTTATAATGGCATTATACGAACATTTTCGGAGCATTATCCGCTGGACCCGATTAACTGGAGAGGTAATTGCTTCTCTCCGCATTAATTCTTTCCGAAAGACAGGCTGCTGTTGTACTGTAGCGGACATGGAAATCCAGTCGATTGATCAGGGCCTCCGGGGCCGGCTCCCTCAGTGCGTACAGAACACTGTGTGCAGTGCACAAAGTCATGTTGATCCGCCATGCGACCAGCGCGCTGCAGCCCATAATGCATGTTCCGCTTATCTCTCTCTCTCTCTCTCTCTCTCTCTCTCTCTCTCTCTCTCTCTCTCTCTCTCTCTCTCTCTCTCTCTCTCTCTCTCCCCCGCTCTGTGTGTGTATGTGTCTCTCTCTCTCTTATCGCTGCTTTGGATTTCTTTTCTACTTTGCTTTGCCGTGCACCTTGTCTACTTTCATGTTCTTTCCAATAAATTGAATTAATGGGTTTTGAGGATATGGAAAGGTGCCGAGTCTTGGTGATGCAGCATATTGTACTACTAGTACCACTACTGCAGTACTGGTACTACATGTAGTAGTACAATGTAGATCCTCAAAGGCGTCTGGTCTGAACTCGACAGTCATGTACTTCGAAGTACATGATGTTATCCACCTCTAACGGCTCTAACTTGATCACCTGCCATTACATGCACGGTGTGGTGTACCGATATGGCCTTGTATGCATTGCAGTATCCATGGGCAGCTGGCTTGTAAAGTGGTCAGCTAGCTAGATCCTTCTTCGCCTGCGTTATCTCCTTGTTTAGTGTATTTACCCGCTCATGCCTACTCACGGCATGCGTTGTTTATCTTGCCCGCATCCATAATTATGAGTTATGATGGTAACGGGTGTAAGACGTTGGTGCAGCCTCCAGATGGGCCTCCTTGAAGTTAGAATATTTGGGGGATCCGCGTCAGCATGAAGTGCTGAGCCATACTGTCAATAGTGCCGGTGCTGCGCCTGGCACGGACCTCTCGCGCAAAAATTATTTAATACAAGGGCCGAGATCGCGCGAGTCGGGTGCGCGTATACCATGGTATACAATAGTGCCTAGTCACTACACTAGGCTAGTTCTTTGTACATCTAGTGGCTAGACCACAGGTCCACCCCCCCACCACCACCCTAGCATATTCTATCCTAGGCTATGGCCCAGGCCAGGCCAGTGACAGGGTCCGGGAGTCACACAAACCCGTTGTACTTGTAGATCTACAACTCCCTATGCCCTTCCTGGCCTGGGCTACAGTACAGACTGTTGTCGTGTTGACATGATGTGGTCACTGTGTGCGAAATCACAGCGCCAGTGTGTACTCGTAGTCTGTAGACTTTGGCGCGCATCAGTGTATCCTGATACATGATATGTACTGACACAGTGACACTGACAGTCTGTATCTGCAAGCGCTGCGTCTCATGGCCGCTGCATCATGGTCTACGCAGTATCGGTGCGTAACATGACCATTCAATGCCACATCATGGCACATGTAAGGACTCGATTCACTCTCTACTCCAACGACAGGTCATTTCGTCAATGCCCAAGTTTGAACGGGGCTTTTGCTCAATCTCCGTGCTCCTGGCTTCTCGGACCTAAAACGGTCGAAGTGTCTCTGATTGCGACACGTAATTACGTTAGAGACACTACAGCTTATTGTACTGAAATAATTAATTGTAGCATAGCACTGTACAATCATGTTCTAGTCATACAGGTCTCCTGCAAACCCGGGCAAACTGCATGCGGCGAAAAGCTTTCGCTTGCATGTGGCTTAGGTCAGGATCAGAGCCTGTCACTGAGCTGAGGAGAAGACTGTCACCATGGTCACTTGTCACAGTTGTCAGCGATCTAGCGAGGCGTATACCATGGTACAGTCATGTAATAATACGAGTACCAACTACTATGCTTGTGCACTGAAACTCGGGGGGGGGGGGGGGATACTGGTAGTACATATTTTTAGTGTGAGATGAGCAGGGCCTAGCTAGTGTAGGGACGCTAGCCGCACCGCACCGGTGCACCGTCCATGCATCGGATCGCGGAGCCTTCTTCAGCACCAGCCAGATTGGGACAGAGCTCACTACACAGCTAGCTACAGACGTAGAATCAGTAGATCTACACTGTGCTCCGAACCCACCCGGACCCGTACCCCCCATCGCGCGGACAGCAGCAGGGTTACGGGCCGTCGCCGTCGTCGCCGGCAGTAGCTATCACTAGTATAAGACAGTATAAACCAACTCTGAGCATGACATACTAGACTAAGAATCTCACTGCCGAAGCTAGAATAATTATTATTACGAGAATACTACCAGCCGATCATCGACTCTTGGCTATCAATAACCACATGATCCTGGCAACCCCGCTCACAAGAATTAGATGGCCGACCAGACTACAGTCGGCTCTGCCACCGGATGCAGCGCCGAAGACGATTTGCTGACAGCTCGGTGGAAAGAGATCGCGGCTGTGCCTGATGAAGGTGATTTGGACTTCGTGGTAGATGCAGTTTTCCACCAGTGGGAGAAATTGGCGAGAGTTCTTCCGAAGGGCACGTGCAATTCCGGTGAGAACTGATGCCAGTTTCAGTGGTCATAGTTTCAGAACTGACCTAGCCAGGGAAGGGGATTGTTGTAACACTACCCGGTATTCCGGCTACATAAACACTGCTTGAGTGATGCCGTGGCCCACGGTAAGCATGTGACATTCTCTGTTCCTGAGGAACCTTGTACTTGTGTGCCAGGGACTCAGAACTGAGTCTGTGGGTTTGGCGTGCAAGCTTGCCAACACGAGATCGACAATAGGTCTGTATTACTGAATACTGTATTACTGTAATCAATGCTGGACATGGACATGGTTGTTATCAATGCTGGACATGGACATGTACATGGTTGTTATCAATGCTGGACATGGACATGGTTGTAGACAGTTTGGTACCGTACATGCCGCATGTATATGTATGCCCGTTCAGCTTTAGACCTACACTTGCATGGGCCGACCGTTGACTACCTGGACAGGCTGGAGGAACCTGGACCAGGGTGTGTTTAAAATTGGCTCGAACAAAGCCTTTCCAGAAGGTTTGACCCGCATAGGCTGGTTAACTTGGAGTGACTGTGGTGTAGCAGTTGATATCAAGAAGCCTCGTCTTGCAGGCACGGTCTAGGGCAGGAGAGAACAACACAGGGCACTGGAAATTTCAACGCAGATCTCTCCAACAACAGCACAATGTAGCTGGGAGAAGAGCAGGTACTCTCAACTCCTCTACTAGTGCATGGAAACCCAGTGTTCTTGCTGTCACTACTTGCCACTGTCACGGTGATGGGCGCAAAGTCACATGTGCGACTATGCAAGCTGAAGAACAACATCATTCCTACTTTGTTCCTAGATCCTGTGTTCATTGTGGAGCTTTGTGTAAGCCTGGGAAGAATAATATTATGCCTTTCAAGTTAGCTAAAGTGTTGAAATGAAGTTCCTGAAAGGACACCCTTGACTACAACTGGTAGATCTGCATGCTGCTGAAGTGGTTATCCACTTAGCTGGGGTCTCCTCCTCTGGACTAGCTCTTGGCGTTGGCTAGTACCTCCCAGTGCAGGATTCCATTGCCTTCAATCGATATCAGTAGGTAATGAAGTCCTAGGCAATCAAAGAGCCCAGTTCAAGAAAGTAGGAGGCACTTTGAGCAGAGGTACTTCAAGCTACTCTTAGTCAATAGCTGTGGGCTAGATATTGTAGCTGGGAATAGTATGATAGCAAGATGATTGCCTTACTGTTTCCAGAATCTGTTACTGCAAGACAACATGATTGTACTTTGGCAGCCAAGCCAAGTTTCCTTGGGAAAGTATTCAGTAAATGAATGTGTGCAGGTGTTTATGTATGTGTGTGTATATATGTGTGTGTGTGTGTGTATGTGTACGTGTGTGTGTGTATGTGTACGTGTGTGTGTGTATGTGTATGTGTACGTGTGTGTGTGTGTGTGTGCATGTGTGTGCATGTGTGTGTGTGTGCATGTGTGTGTGTGTGTGTGTGTGTGTGTGTGCGCGCGCACGCATGGGGGGGGGGGGCAACTTTCACCCGCGGTATGTTTCCCAGGTCAAAGGTACTACACTGCCAGTGATATTAGCCGGTTTAGTCATGACTGGCGCACATACAAGCTACGCTGTCGTGCAGCCCTGCTTGAGTGGATACGAGGACATCCAGATCATGGACCCAACCAGCTGTTGGAGTCACTGAAAGCCGCTGGTCTCGGCTCACTAATTGGGAGGATATTGGCAGGTCTGCAGACAGAACGTCCCAAGTCACTCTCCTGCCTTGAGATGCAAAGCATGTCAACACCAGACCAGGTTAGTAAGTAACAAGAAACGTGCAGATGTAGTTGACCAGCCTGTCGTGGCATGAACAACTTGACTTGTGACAGCTACCATGCCAGCCCACCAGGTAGCAATTTGTCCTGAAAAAAGGTAGAACTATTGGGTGTTGAATGTAGAAATTATAATGGTCATTAGTATGAGAAAGAGCACTCCCTATACACAACACTCCCAACCCCCAGCAGTCAGCTACTCAGTTCACCAGGACAATCTGGCGATGACTTTATGCAAAGGAGCTCAGCTGTCTAGTCTGCACGTAAACCCCATGCGCTTAGTCAGTGACTAGATCGAGACACTGCTTGTGGCACTTATTATGCTTACCGTATGATTGTATACTTCTTTACAAAGGCAACACCCACCGCGTAGTGTCATATGTATTGCTGTAAGACACTGCTGATCCATCCACCCCCCCCCCCCCCCACACACACACTGTGCCGCCTCCTAATGACTTGCCGGCATGCTCGGGATTGTGCACATTTCCATTCACAGGAATACCTGCTGCACTGTCACGTATTGTGCTCAACAGTGCATGCATTGGTATTGTGCTCAGCAGTGCATGCATTGGTTCAACACCGTACTTCGACGTGCATGCTAGAGTCTCTTCGTAAGCAGAAATTTGACAGGGTGAAAAATTAGGGAGGGGCGGATCAACAGTGCTTCACAATGCTACATGAGAAGCTGTACCCCACTCCAGCCACCATTACCCCCCCCCCCCCCAATCCACCCCCTACTAGAGCCCACTGTGTCTGCACAAAGTCATGTTCTCTCTCTCTCTCTCTCTCTCTCTCTCTCTCTCTCTCTCTCTCTCTCTCTCTCTCTCTCTCTCTCTCTCTCTCTCTCTCTCTCTCTCTCTCTCTCTCTCTCTCTCTCTCTCTCTCTCTCTCTCTCTCTCTCTCTCTCTCTCTCTCTCTCTCTCTCTCTCTCTCTCTCTCTCTCTCTCTCTCTCTCTCTCTCTCTCTCTGCACCCATGACCGGACAGTAAAGAAAGTTTCCTTGTGCTGTTCTGGACATCAGTGACTGCTCTTGTTTATCACATGATGGTGGTGGTTCTTTACATGAAAATAATCTGAATAGTGGGAAGGTGGACTTCTGATCATGAGCATGCTCCGTATCTGTATGACTGAATTTTTGACTGTATTCCTGACAGTATTTATGACTGTTTGCTTTGATGACTATATTATCATGTGCTGGCCGTTCTATTCTTTTGCTGCAGGATACGATTTTAGCTCCACTGGGACAAACTGAAGATCTGCTGCCGTGTATTCCCAGTAGTGAAATCCGATGCCTTCCGGAGCACCCCATCAGCAAGTCTAGAGCCCTGGGCACTAACAGCACTATGGCTATGTGGCAAGGTGCATTAATTGCCCTGAGACACACTGGCGGACACGAGGCTGAGATAGCGTCTCTGCAAGACAGGAAGGATCGTATCGACAGGCTGCAGAATGATTTCCGCGCCATGTCACAGCTGCGACATCCCAACATCATAGCAGTGTATGGTCTGCATGCACCGAAAACCGGCCATGTAGCGCTGGTCGTGGAACCTATGGAGACAACTTTGTACAGCCGGTGCCGTCTTCAGCCAAAGATCCTCTATACTGATGTTCTCAGTGTTGTGACTCAAGTAGTGTCTGCATTGGTCTATGCAGAAACTATGGGTATCGTATTGACAGATGTCTGTACAAAGAACACATTCCTACTCAAGTCTCACAGTGGACGCTACATTGCCAAGGTCGGTGGCCACGCAATCGTACAGAAAACACTATCTCTCAACCGCCGCCAGTCCGTTCCACAGCACCTACTGGCTGGCAGTACATCCGATTTGCTTCAACGTCGCCTACTGAAACGCTCACACTCAGCTGGCGTACGTAGACAAGACAATATCTTCTCAGTTGGGAGCATGATCATTGAATCCCTTCTTGGTGGCGAGCTTGTTGGCAACAGCCCACAGCGATGGGTTGCTGATCTTTCTCGTCAAGGCTACACCAATGCACAGCTTATTCACTTGATAACCAAGTGCCTGGATCGTGCACCCAAGGGTCACATAACTAGTGTTGACCTGCTGGATCGTCTGGAAAGCATCAGTGGAAGTTATACACATCAAGCAATGTGTGTGGCAACCCCCACCATTGCTCCACCAACAGACGTGTACTACTCACAGGTAGGTCTGCCCAGTCTGCAAGCATTCACCATGCTCCTCTCCTGCAACCATGCTCCTCTCCTGCAACCATGCTCCTCTCCTGCTCATTAACCATGCTCCTCTCCTGCTTGTCGCACATTTGCCGCCTGGTATATAGTTGCTTGCATCGCTACATAGCTGTGTCTCAAACGGGCTGTCAACAAGGGGTTAAAGTTCCAGTGTCTGCTTTCACGGAGAGATTGAGATTGAGAGCACGTACATGATCATCTTGTATTGTGCCATGTGTGAATGTAACTTAATGCGGATACCGCTAATATTATCCCCAAGTGGTTCACAGTACTACACTTGCGTTCTTCTATGATTCCACCATGACATCATACTGCACGCTTGCAACCGCTCACTAGGGTGGTATACGCAACACCTTTCAGCAGACGTTTGTCATGGGATTAAGCAGTTTAGTGCAGACGTTTGTCGTGTGATTACTGATTAAGCTGTTGAGTGCAGACTTTGAATTAAAGTTGTAGGAGTAGGAAATGACCGGCGTTGCACTTGCACCATACCTTACAGAACTGTAGAGGAGAGGTCTCTCATTGACCCCCAGGCACGATCACACCATGGACAGGGTCAAAAGTGGCAGGGCGCTCTGGCGGTGTTTTGAAGCAATAAAACAACTTCCAATCATCCTGCCTGAAACTGAATTGGTCCCCTGTGGCGGCACTATGCCACAGCAGCCGGCAATTGGTGGGTTAGTTGCATTGTCTTTGATCGGGGCAATGGAATTATTGCACCAGCTAAAGTACCTGCTAGTCGTCGTGGCTTCTGTTTTCATGACAGGTGGAGCCGCATGATGCCTTTCCCCAAATCATGTAGCCAATACCGTACTTCCCCAATTATGGAGCTCATCACATTATAAGTCACCCCACCCCCTCCTTTTCAAGTCTCTGTTGAACAGTTTCAGTTGGTTCACTGAGCGATTCGTCATACTTGATTCTAGGTCGCCCTCTTCCTCGATCTCAAAGTTCCAAGTGAAAAGGCAATTTATATTCTGGGAAATACAGTAGTCACCAGACCCATATCTTCCGCTGACCCTTTTCTTGCTGCAATGTGGAGTAGGTGTGCGCAACTTAATGCATGCTGTGTAATGAGACATTGATCCTCTCTGCAAGAAAAGCAGGCAATACTTACTACTCTATGTATTGGTGAAGAAATCATCGGATTTGGATGCTAATCTGCTTACTGTCTACTTCCAATTTCATCCCCAGGTTTCAAGTGCTGTTGGTTCAGGATCTGAGGACTGCCATCATGCTGATGCTGATGGTAATATCATTCTCCTGCAGAGACTAATGGCAGAGAAGAGAGCATTGAAAGAGCAGGTTGAGTACTTGAAAAGTACTCTTCTGGCACATGACATTGATCCTGCGCAGGCTATTGCTACAATCCCAACCCCACGGTCACCATCACCACCACCACCACCACCACCACGTGCTCTGTCCACTGTGAGTCGATCATTTTAATTTCACATCATTGTGTTTTTGCTGTGTACTTCAATTTACTGTCGCACCCACACTCTGCTCCATCCTATGCTGTCACACTGTACCTGCCTGATACAATGAAGCTCTGCTCAGTGGGATCATTTTGAACTTATTGCTTGGCAATCTAGCATTGCTGTTGCTCTGCTCTATATTTACGTATCAAGACAATCATATCCGATTCAGTGTTGTGTTCTAACTGGCACTCAGATACAGACGCCATGCTCTGTGAATGTCCTGGTTCCTTTGATTTGTAGGCATCTCAAGGCACCACTCCGGAGGCGAGACATGACAACTCGGAAGCGGCTGCTGCATCCTTTGAGAAAGCATCCAATTCAAAGTCTTCTGTCTATGATAGTGACTCGTGTGAATCAGCCAGCAGTGGCTCTTACACTGGGCCATCAGAGCAGCACCTTCAAAACAATGAGGTATGATTAGGAATGCAAGCAAACATGGACAGTGTCAGTTGATGTAACACCATGGGGATTTATCATTTGCATGTAGGAAGCCAGGGTCACGTTTCATGAATGGATTGTAGATGTTGCGAAGTATCCTGTGTGATCAGGAAATTCGTAACTATTACTTGTAGTCTTCTGGTGCTCGGTTGAATAGTTCGGTCTGAGGAGTGTATTATTTTCCTGAAATCCCCAATCAAACCCGTAGCCATACCCAGGAATTCCCCGTGTTGACATTGAAGTGGGTCATCAGAAAGTATCCAATGCATTTCGGGGGGGGGGGGGGGGGCATGATGATGAGCTGTGGTATGCATGCAATTGGAAAATGCTGCATCTCTTCTTTTTTCTTTTTTTAAGACCAAAGCCAATAACTCGGCACCCAAATGACTACACTAGTCCTTTCATGCAAGCACCACAAGCACCTCAACCACACAGCTGCATAGCGTTCATCACTGCACTGTAGACTACAGGAGCCACGTTGCAAAAGAAAGAAAAAGAAAAAAACAGCTTTCATTTCTTATCCTTGATAAAATAAAATAAAACAGCATGTCTGGTGTCCCTCTTCTCACATCCCACCGTGATTTAGGCTTGATCTCAGAGTCGCCGCATCGCACTCACCTGTTCTACTCACCTAGCTGCTCTGACTTGTTCTCTGTGCGTCCCTTGCAAAGGTGGAGAATACAAACAACCAAGTCTTGGAAGAGCAAGCTGATGCCAGTTCAGTATTCAATGACGATATTGTGGTGACATTTCCACCGTATAACAAACAGATTCAGGTGGCAACATTTGGCAGCACAAGTCCGCCTCTTCATCCTGCCCATCCCGATGATGGTGATGATGTCGAAGAGGAGCAGGAGCAAGTGGACAAGGACATTCCAACAACTGTTGTTGAAGCACGAAATACCAGAAGTTCTCTAGCTCTAGCGATGAGCTCACCCAGGAAGGAGATTGCAAAACGGAGCAAACAGCAGCGTGTCTCATTCTCTATGCCCGACCCGGCCCCGTCGCATGCCACTGGTGATTCATCACCTGAGCGGACAGGCCAGGTAAGCCGGCCTATGCTGCTACATAACACACACTCTGTTACACAGCAGACACTCTCACGGTTACACAGCACACACACTCTGCTACACCCACAACTCTCCAAACACGTATTGTCAAGAAGAAAAGGAAAGAGACTGATGTACATAATATTACCGTATGCCATATGCTTCATAAATGAAATGACATTTGAAGTATGTTTTGTAAACATGAAGGAATAAGACAGCACTATTAACAAACTTACAGGCCAGCAGGAAGGGTGTACAAGTGGATTTAGATCGAAATTTCCATGTGGACTTTGACTTTTATGGCAAAGCGTAGTGGGTGAGTCATTTTGCATCTAAAATAGCTAGGAAAGCAGCGGTGTTTCAAATATATGCTTTACATGGCTTTAAAGGCGCTGACATACGGTATGTTGGATTCGTAGGCAATCATGTCACTATAGGCAGTCGGGAGGCCATCAAACAGTCTAAATACTGTAAACAGTTGGATGCTGTGCCGGAAGGGCCGCATATACATGTACATGTCTGCTATTTGGCCCAGGCTATGAGTTGCTGGGACCCATGGTGTCTAAGTCTTACAAACACCCAAATGCATGCTAATCTTGCAACTTTGTGGCACGGAATGAAAGCATCTGTGCTCATGTACTCACGCGAATCAGCTTCTAGAGGTATGCGCTTGTAATGACTTGTCTTTTTTACAACTACATGTATCAAGAAGAGGTCTCGTTGGATGCTTTCCCACAACAGGTTCCATAGGTCAGCAATGCGCAAGATATGCTTCGGCTTTGTACAGACAAAGTCACATGGTTTTGACTAGGGGTGAAACAATTATACCGAATACTCGAAGTCTGGAAGCAACTCGAACGCGATCTGAGGTTCTGGAGTGGAGTTTTGGCGCTCGAACGAAAAAATCACGTCTCAAGCTGTTTTTTAGCCTGTAAAATGCACTTCATTTAGTTCACTGGTGTACAACATTTGAATGGGGTTCTTTCTCTTCCAGAATGCTGCCACGTTATGGAGGGTGCTGAGGCAACGAGCAACAATTGTTGGCAATTTTCGGCGCCGGAGATCTAGTGTGGATCCACAGCAGAGGTAATACTAATAAATTACCGTAAAAGTCCGTAAATAAGTACGTATTTACTTTTGAATTTAGTGACCACACCCGTACTAACTTTCGGGCGGGTACTGACTTTCGGGCACGAACTAACTTTCGGACCTGACTTGTGTGTTTGTAGTGGAGAAGTCATTTTCATGTCGATGTACATGCTACGTGCTGCATGTGCGCACCGTACGGGTACTTATTTCGGGCAGTATGTTTATCGGGCGTGACTTGACTTCACCAGACAGAGCCAAAAGAATGAAGTGGGTATTTCTTTCGGGCAGGTACTTATTCACGGACTTTTACGGTAGTAATAATATTAATCGAAGTCTTGTTTAGCTGTAGCGTTCTTTTGACTGAAGTATCTCCTGACATGAGCGAGCTTAGCGATAAAGAATATACTTTATACAACTACACTAAAGGGCAATTTTTATATGGCAAAAGTTGCACACACTTTTCAAGGTGAGGACCAGTCACAGATCTTTCTCTCAGATAAAGTTGCTTGCTGAGGCAGTGGCGTAGGAGGCCGGGAGGGGGGGGGGGGGGGGCACCCCCCACCCCCAAAACATGTTGGCAGATGTAGAGCCGAAACTCGATCGATGAACATGGTTGCACGCGCAAGTGAAAATCATGGAGATCAACCACAGTCATGCACTCAGATCGATCCCATTCAGAGCTGCCCCTGCATATGCAGTGGGTTGTCGTACTTGACAGGCCCAGAACAGGCAGGAAGTCTCGACTGTATGAGATTCCTGTGTGACCAGGCCCTGTGCGTGCCACCAGCGTGAAGCACAGTCACAACAGATCATCCCTTGTATTGGTTGTTATTGCATCATGGCTGCTGATGAAACGTTGTTTTTCGTGGGCAGTTTCCTTCGAAATCGGAAAGGCAGGAGTACTTTGCTTTAGTCAGAATCAGTTCTTCTCATTGCTATACTGCAGCGTTCTGGAGAAAATTACTTTCCGGAAGAAAATTTCCAGACTTTCTGTTACGTGTTAGTTCACTAGTTCTCGGAGAGCAAAGATTGCAAGGTACGACCGCCAACATGTGTGGCGGTGGTCATAAATTCCACCATTTTTATGGAGAAACTGAGCCTGTGGCTTGCAGCCATCATTCAAGGACCTCCAAAAGATTTCACATGGGTCAAATTTGTCACCAAAATTATCGTAGAAAATCCGTTGTCTGCGGAACATACCGGTACTACTACTAATCGTAGAGTATTTTTTATCACTGTTAGGAGGGGAGTCCGAGGTTTTTGGTTGTATTGTAATAGCTGAAATTGGGGAGTTCTTGAACATAAGCTCATCCCTCTGCCTTTGCCAGTACAGTAAAACCTGTAACTGAACAAAACCGTGACTAGCGACCAGCCTGGTACTACAGACCACTTCGCCAGGCACGGACGGTCTCACATTCCATACATCGTAGTGCGGTGCAAACCTCTAACTAAGAACCACCTGCCTCTAAAGACCACCTGCCACTAAAGACTGCTTACTCTGGCCCCAAGGGGTGGTCATTAGTCACAGGTTTTACTGTAAGTTTTGCTCTATGATCGACTCTCTTTCACCATACGGATTAATTTTGCTTTCAGGTAAATTTCCCTTTGGACTTTGGCCGGGCTCTCAGTCAGAGCTACTTATCCAGTGGTCGCTGCGAGCAATCTCTCCTGTTCAACGTACATGCACAGCACTTCCATTTTCTTGTCCAGGTTCGAGTATAGTACTACTACTAGTACTCGGTTTTCACTATTGCTCCATACATGTCCAGTACACGTATATCATGATGTAGAGTGAGATATTCCGAAAAGAAGTATCAGCCGGACCGACGCGAAGTGAAATACTTAAATAAAAACTTTCCGTAGAAGGATTACCAGTATCGGTATACTGAGGTAAAACTTGTACATGACACCAGTATATGAGCAGGTCATTGCCTGGAAGTCACCCCCCCCCCCCCCTCCCCCAAAAAAAGAACCCAAAAAATCTTCCTAAGCCACTGTGAGGTACTGATGTCACAACAGGCACCATACCTATTGTTCCTTGTCCAGGATCTTGACATTGGAGTCATCGTGAAGGTTTGTCCTTTGCATTGATACTTACAGACACTCAGTGCAAGTACACCAACACAGCAACACTGATGCAGAGATGTAGATGTGGCCAGCATTCCTATGTGTTTGATTTGTTTTATCATTTTGTAGATCTACATCTCAAGTGATCACTGGCACACTGAGAGATAGCCCACTGAAGAGACACCAGAATTCACCGGCCTCTGATGCTGTATCATCGTCAAACTCATCCCAGGAGGAAATACTGACCCCGCCAGTGCTTTCCGCACCTCACCGCCGCAGGCCTGGTGTAAAGTGCTTTGCTCGGTTTTCACACGTTGCTACAGATCAGAAAGAACTGACATTGCAATGTGGCGAGCCCTTGATTGTTTGGGAGGGCGGCTCATCTGGCGAGGGTAGTGACAGTAGTGAAGGAGGAACATTCTATGCCCGCTCTACTATCACAGGCTCTTCAGGAGTAGTCTCGCCTGACAATGTGGTACCACTGAAGAGAGTCAAGCGAAGACTGTGAGTTGATACTGTTGCAAATGTGACTTGGTGATTGTATTCGATCAAATGTGTTTTATGATTATGTGTCGGCAGCATTTCAAACAGTCCACGTAAATAGATGCAAGTGTATAAGTTGCATGCTATGCGATGCCGGCTGCCTTGTCAGTTGTGTACTATTGGATACCAATGCCGTGCTGGACAACCAAACCATGCTTCATGGATCAAACTGGCAATATGTGCATAATATTATGTTGTTGATAGCTGGTCTTCCCCTTTTCCTTGCTGCCTCCTCCAGCCATGCGTACAACTTCAATAGCCAGCCATCATACGAGTTGGAGCGTGTGAAGTGTCTGCTTGGGGACAAGCTACCTGATGGGGCTCTTTCACAGTTCTGCAACGTTTTACTCAAGGATATGCACGGTGGAAATGCTTTTGAGGTGAGACAGCAATATTTTTTATTTTCTTTCTTTCATGTGTGGTGGGTTGGTGGCGGTGGTGGCGGCAGCAGCGGAGATGGAAGCGGGGGTGTTGGTGGTAACGTTATTAGAGATCCTTCAGGTGTGAAGATTGGCCCAGCAGGAACTTGTTCTATTCGGTTCAGGATTCTCCCATGGTAGCACGCCCTCCTTGTCCTCCTCCTCCTCCTCCTCCTCCTCCTCCTCCTCCTCCTCCTCCTCCTCCCCCATATATCATCATACATGCTGATTACTGCCACACAAATGACACAACATCTTAACAGGACATTTTGCACATACCTGCACTGTGCCTCAATGCAGATCATCAGCAATCATTGTTCACATGGCAACTACCACGAGTCAAGAGATGTTTTTGAGGAAATGTTCAAGCGTTGGAGCAATGCCGAGAGTGCAAATGGCCTTGATTACTTCGAGGCAGCAAAGGTGCTAGCAGATGGCTACGAGTATCAGGTGCTGTCCATTCTTGAGGTAAGGCTTGCAAATGCTCCCGTCCATTGGCTGTGCATGATGAGTATGTATCTTCTGTTTTCAAACCCTTTCCATGGTCGTTGAATCATAAACAAAACTGAGCGATGAATGTTGTATATGAGGACATGTGTTTACCCAGGTGGCGTGACCTTAAACATTCATGCCCCACCGCCAGCACATCAAACAATGACATTCTAGCAGCGTGGAGGCACTATTGTGTGAGAAGAGGAGACTTACTAAACAAGGACAGATAGAAGACTGGACAGAAGACCGTAGTAATGAATAATTATGTTCTGCCCTTGCCATTTGCGGCCAGAAAGGCAAAAGGCCTGGAGTTTAGCTGCAACAAAGAACATGGCTACTTGCAACCTTTGCAACACGGTCTATTCTGACAACGGCTGCTCAATGACGGCACTGAAAAGACATCTGGACGCCAACTTTTTGAAGACAAATCAACGTTATCGTCTTTGTCAGTTGTCAATTTAATAAGAAATTAAAAACAAAAACAATCGTTGCCCCATCAATGAACTCATTAACTGACTCGATAGCTTGCTCATTTGTTATAGACATGCTCGTGTCAGCACTATCCAAAGCCAAAGTATGATACTTTGTTATCGTGAACTTTGCCTAAGCCAGCAGTTTCAGTGCACCACAGATCATCTCTTCTCAATACGAGTACGTACTGTACTGAATGGGACTTGGGTTCTGATCAGTCTTATAATTCCTTTCCTATGGTCTGTATTCCATATTGTGCAGGTCCTTTCAGAACCCTAAGTCATGTGACACGATGTGACACGATGTGACATGCAGCATGGGAAGTGAATCTGCCACTCCATGTGGGACAATGCCATGTCGACAAGCTGCTGCACATGTGTGCTATCTCCGTTTCACTCCAGCATTGGGAGTAAAATTTGCTGCCACAGCAGGTGTAGCAGGCTTGATCAATGCCATTGGGTGATTTTCTGTGACTAGTGTGGTGGTATGACTTTGCAGTGGATTGCAGGACTTAACTTTAGTCCTTAGCATTGCTCGTGTGTTATCCGTTATCGGTGCTTAACCATTATGTTGCGTGCTGTAGTCTGAGCAAGATTTCTCAGTCTGTGATGCTGACTCGCAGATGTACATAACTCCATTATATCAGGCACATCAGTGTATAATTTCTCATGGATGACCTCATATCAAGAGTTTGCAGATGGGCTACTGTATGAGTTGAATCTTTAGCGGGGCACAACGCCTGTGTAGCATTTCAAGTAACGAGAAAGAACCCATCGTCAACTCCAGAAACTTTACATGTACATGTATATTATTAATTCTCTCCTCTGCACAGGAGCAATAGAAGACACGCACGCGCACATGTGTGTGTGTGTGTGTGTGTTGTGTGTGTGTGTGTGTGTGTGTGTGTGCTGGCAGGGTCATTAAAATGTTTGCGCCCGCTAAGGGGAAATTTTGCAAACCGTTAAACTTGTTTAACTCGTCACACTTTCAACGCTTACAGTGTGAGTTCTTGTTCACGATCATATCCTTCACTTTTCTTACTTGATTTGTTATTCTTGCCTTTGCCTTAAAGTGACCATGCCACAGCTTACATTCACAAGTTACATTCACAAGTTGGCAATTGCAATACCCGTTTCTAAGCCAGTTAAGTTAAGATTGAGTTTTATACTTCGCAAATATGCCTTGACTCTGGAGTTTGAACTGCAGCTAATACTGCATTGTTTATCTTGCGCTACTTATCATACTACTCATACTAGTAGTACTGTACATGTGTAACAAAATTCCCAGCCGAAACCCAACGTTTCGCATGTACCGTAGTAACGATCCATCTGATGTTATGCTAATAATAGAGGACGAACAGCCTAGTTCTGTCCGCAGATTGAGTATTTCGCTCCTGCTCTTGTAGTGTGGAGCGCTCTCATGTGGGGTAGTGCTGTTGCTGTTTGTGTAATGCAGTAATGTTCTACCCTGCTGTTCACTGAAAACACGATCTCTATGTCCTCCAAACCCTTTACCATGTTACCATGCAGACCACCAACACTGTACTGATCTGGTGCATTGTACATGTGTAGCCTACATAGAACTGGAGTACAATCATGTGGTTATGCTCCTACCTCCGAAAGGATGCCAAATCATAGTATGCTCCAAATTTTTAACCACCAATTTACATGTAGCTCATGCTCATCTAGCTTCGTTGCGCTTTCCTTCCCCTCTTTGGACCTTTCCTAACCTGAGCCTTCCAAGTTGGAAGGTTGTTAGTTTGCGTCTTGTAGATGTGTTGGAGCTAGGTGTCAGGTCGTAGAATGTCTCTGATGATCCTGTCAGTGATTGTGTCTTGTTGTCGCACAATCTGACCGTATAATATCTCATGGCTTGGTGGACTGTTAGTCATGTCTCGTAACTAACTACTTATTGGTCCTTTCTTCTTATAATGATTATAAATTATTTATAATAAATTATGTTGTCAGGTGTGTAGGACATTATAACAGCAAGAGTTCTTTCTGAAACTCGGATGTTGAGCCAATAATAAAATGTAGAAAGGAAAAGGATATAATGGGTACGAGCTAAGAGTAACTGTCCACCACTGTATACATGTAACCAAGAGTCCATAACCCCGGGGGTTATGGACTGTTGATGTAACTCACTGTGACTATAATACAATCAGAAAGTGCAACAACTAGGCACAGAACTGACAGAGTATTCACTCCTGAGACATTCGACGTCCTGACACCTACCTAGCTTCAACACATCTCCGGAGCGCTAACCAACAGCCGTCCAACTCGGAAGATTGACGATTTTTGTGTGTAAGGGGCGTAGTAGGTTGCGTGTATTGAGGCTCCCGTTTTTCCGTAGTTTTTAGGTAGCTTTTGGGGACTAGCCCCAACAGCCTGGGTGGGATGGCTAGCCCAGATCACACTGAGCAGCTGGTGAGCGCCGAACAGGTCCATACACAGCTTCGCTCATTGCCTGGCATCGAACACAATGTTGTAGAAGTGCTGAGAACTCTAGCTCGTCTTGAAAGCCAACTTCAGGACCAGGAGAAACGATATCAACGAAGGATTAGTGAATTGAGCTCCGAACTATCCCAGCTGAGAGAGGACCTGGCCGACACTCGCCTTTGCCAAAATTTGGACATCGGCAATGTTACGTGTGCGTCTTGTAAATCAAACTCCTCCGCCATTGCAGACCAAGAGAGAGAGCAAGAAACAACCAGCCAGAGGCAGCGCCGAAATCGAAAGAAACGTAGTACAGGCACAGAAAGTCGTTCACAGTCCGCCGTACCCGTAGAGAGTTCACGACCCATTGATCCCGAGATGGACCTGACTGGCAGTGTCAGATCCGACGTTGACAGCTCAAACAACAAGCCGTCCAACTCCCGTACACATGGTACACCCGGACCCAGCTCGGAGTTGACCCCGCCACGTGTGGATCGCTTGCCGAAATTTGAAGAGATGAGTGAGGATTCGGACGCCACATGGCGACTCATCACCTCCACCAAACCCACAGCGAAGAAGAGAGTCCTGTTTGTCGGAAATCTGATGCATGCAATTACTGCAGACCAGCTGAAGGAGTTCATCGCAGCAAGAGCAGCTGAGGCTGACCACAATGTCCAAGTGTTTGACGTAAAAATATTTCAAAAAGAAAAATCCTCCACTGCGCGTATTGTTGCCAGTGCAGCGGACGAACCGTTTCTCAGCAACAAGCGCTTCTGGCCAAGGCCTGTGTACACAAGAGAGTGGAACTTCGATAAGTACACCCAGTCTGATGCCAGTGGAGATCAACAAACAGCGCAGAGCAGCACTACGACCACCAACAGCAGCAGCAGCCGAACGGACGACAGTAAGAGCGGACACGGCGTGGATTGCGATATCCTAGATGACACCTGTGGAGCACCGGCCCGGACTCCAGGCCAGAAATCACGGGGCTATCAGCGTGACTCGCCGCCCGAGACGCAAGCTGCGAAGTTTAGTGTCACTGTTGGCAACGCATTTGCATCTCTAAGTCAGGATGTGGATAATATATCTGTGCAATGACTGGAAGAAGATTAGGCAACGACCCTGCTGCTCATGAACTGAATATGCAAACGCAAACTCCAACAATTCGAATTTTACTGCTGAACATTAGGAGCCTGAGGAACAAAGTTGGAGAGCTGGCATGGCTTGCCGACCTTCACAGTCCTGACATCATCTGTGTCAACGAGACCTGGCTAGACGACACCGTGTCTGATGGAGAGATAGCTTTGGATGGCTTCAACATACTGCGCTCAGACAGAAAAGATCAGGCCGGTGGAGGAGTCTGCCTGTACTCCAAGGCATCCCTCCTGGTCAAGCCAAGAATGGACCTCACAGAATCGGCAATTGAGAGCTGCTGGGGAGAAATCCATTGCCAATCTGGAACTTGTTTGATAGGAACCATTTATCGACCTCCATCTGAGCCAGTTCGATACTGGGACTGCCTGGACGACCATCTCCATTCAGCTATAATGCCCGGGAAGAACGTGATTATTTGTGGCGACATCAACATAAACACCAATCCAACAGCACCTCCAGATCCACAGCTTCATTATCTATCTGACCTCGTGGCCAGCTACAGTTTATATCCCGGAGTTCACCAGCCGACTCGGTTCTCAGCAAACTCTGCACCAACCACACTGGATCAATTTTACAATACATTCGACCCTCTAAATATGGCTACTGTTATCCCCATCGCGTTCAGTGACCATGCAGCAGTTCTCAGTGAATTTCAACTCAGCCCAGTAAGAAGTACTGTAACTTCTGGGCTACGGCGACACTACCGAAACATAAATCATGACCAGTTCAAGGCAGATTTGGTCCAACAGGATTTTTGTGAAATTGACGGAAGCCCAACTGTCATGTGGACTGAGTGGGCCAGCCGCTTTCTACAAGTGTTAGACAGACATGCTCCTCTTGCACCAAGCCCTCGACGCAAGAAAAAATCAGTACCATGGATGAACCGCCAGTTATTACACCTCTTGACCAAGCGCAACCGGCTCCATAGGAGGTGGCTTAGTGATGGAACAGAACATTCCCACTCAGCTTTCAAGGCTGCCAGGCGGGAAGCTACCAGCTATAATAGGCAACAGAAAGAGACCTACTACCAATCCAAGTTTCGAGCTGCGTCTGGCAATACCAAACAGACATGGCACACGATCAAAGAATTGAGTGGTAAACATCGACAATCTCAGCCACCTCAATGTTCTGTTGATGCCGTCCGAAACACCTTTGCAGAGATAGTAGAGGACGCCAGCCGCCCAGTGCATCTCTCATTTCCCTACGGGCCCGCCTCAAGCACTGATCTGACAGCCTTTGCGCCAGTGTCTATTGCCAGAGTGAGGAAGCTCCTCGAACGTTTAAATCCGGCCAAGTCCAGCGGTGATGATGATATTTCTGCAGCCCTTCTCCGCGCACATGCAGACATACTGGCGCCATCCCTGACTTTGATCTTTAACAAGTCCCTGAGAGAGGGCATATTTCCTGCCCAGATGAAAAGTGCTAGGATATCGCCACTCTTCAAAGGCGGAGATCCGAGCATGCCAAAGAATCATCGACCAGTGTCCTTGTTATCGATTGCATCCAAAGTGTTGGAAAGGATAGTCCACGAGCAACTCACACGATATCTAGTTCAGAGCAATTTATTCCCGCCAACTCAATTCGGCTACAGATCCCACCACTCTACATCCGACGCACTAGTGCTAGCTGTGGAAGGTATCTGTGAGGCCCGTATGAACAGACTCAACACAGGTGTAGCCTTTGTTGATATGTCAAAGGCATTCGATAAAGTGAAACATCAAACTCTTGTGCAAGATCTGTTCGAACTTGGCATCTGCGACACGGCACTCTGTTGGCTGGTGGATTACCTCTCTGATAGAGAACAGTACGTTCAGGTTGGCCAGACTAGAAGTCTCCCGTACACCAGTTACTCAGGTGTCCCCCAGGGGTCGGTACTGGGCCCACTGCTATTTATTGTCTATGCCCGCGGCATAGCAGAAGAACTATCACCGTTTAATGTGGGAGCAATCCAGTTTGCTGATGACATCTCTATACGATGTAGCAGGGAGTCTGCGGAAGCTGTTTCTGCACACCTTTCAGCTGCTGTTCAGCACCTGGCCACCTGGCTGAAGGGCCGTGGTTTAATTCTTAATGAAAGAAAGACACAGATATTGCCTATTCCCCCATCCCCATCTCAAGCACTTGAGCTGCATGTCATTTGTAATGGGCAGACGCTGCCTGTTGTGAAAACGGCCAAGTATCTTGGCCTACATTTCGACTCAGACATGAGCTGGAACACCATGACAAGCCATGTTGCACGCCGCGTTGCCGCTAAGATTGGGCTACTAAATCGAAGTGCAGCATGTTTGCCTTTTTCTTGCCGTGTTCAGTTTTTCAGGTCCTTTATACTATCAGAATTTGACTATGCATCTGCTGCCTATGCCCCTTTCTTATCGTCTTATCAGGATAAGCGCCTAAATAGTTTGTTCAAACGTGCGGCTCGCTCGGTGTGCAGGGCAGCCCCTCGCACTCACACGGCTCCCTTACTTGAACGCATGAATGCCCATACCCTCAGCATATACACCCACATGCACATCCTTGTATTCATTTGGCGCTGCCTGAACAAATCTTCAAGTACTCTGTTTGCAAGCTTTTTCACCCGTAGTCCCTCTCTCCGAACACGAGGAGGGAACAGCAAGTTACTCATCATTCCTGTCTCCCCCACTGCATCCTCAGCTAAGCGCATTAGCCATGCTGGAGCTATCCTGTGGAACCAGCTCCCAGACACAGCACGCCTCGAAAGAAAGCGCTCCACTTTCAAATCGCTAAGCCTGGCCTTTCTGTTAGGCAGTACCGTCAACTAGGATGAACTCATCTGCTTCACTACCTCTCTCTCTCTCTCTCTCTCTCTCTCTCTCTCTCTCTCTCTCTCTCTCTCTCTCTCTCTCTCTCTCTCTCTCTCTCTCTCTCTCTCTCTCTCTCTCTCTCTCTCTCTCTCTCTCTCACTCACTCACTCACTCCTTTCTTCCCGGTTGCCGTGCTTGTGACTTTTTTTCCCTGCTGCCGTGCTCATATTAGTTATCTAACTACAGCTGTATCTTCTTCTTGGTTCTGTTTGTCCGCTTATGATTATATTTTCTTTTCTCTTATTATCAGTGGGACCATTGTCATTAGGTTTAGGCCTGTTTTGGAACTCCACTTTAAATAAAGCCAAACAACAACAACAAAAAGATTCAAGGTTTTAAGGAGAGACCAAAGAGGGGAAGGTAAGCGCAACGAAAACGAGCACAAGCTACAGTCCCACTGGAACCGATTGTTACTGGACGATGCCGAGACCAGTAAGATACTTGACAAATCAAAATCAGCGTCCTATTTTCTGTCTTTTGTTTCTTTCTCTGTCCTGGCCATGCGCCAGTACATGTACAGTGGCCCCAACAACACACCAGTAATAACAAGAGTAGATAAACATGTTTATCTACTCTTGCCCGGGCCTGCTGAGTCTTGCCTCTTGCCAGTCTTGGTCTACATAACACGATGATCCTGAATCGCGCTGGCCAAGTCTTTCGCAAGTTTCGGGGCCGCCGACCTCTGTAGGTCGAAGTTCAAAGGTCAAAGGCTATCGACTATTAACATTTTAGGTGCAGACTCGATCCTTATGTAGCGTAAGCAAGACTTGTGAGCCGCGATCCCATCATCGCGGCGAGAGCGAACGTTACTACACACTACATAGCCTAGGCTACAATCGGAGAGGGCTTATGTAGCTACACTACTGCTCTGCTCAAACCATGCAAACAGTAAAACAAGGTTGCCAAAGCAAGCACAAACAAGAGCAGAACTAGAAGGAAGGGGTTGTAAAGTAACTTTAGCCTTAGTTTACGTGGCAGCTGAGTCCCACCGCAGTCGTTCCCACCGCAGTCGTTCACACCGGCGCAACTGACAACAAGGTAGGCTCACACGAGTGCGGTACCAGCGGCTTCAAGGTGCTAACCCTCTTCGGCCAGGCAGAAAACTGGTTGTTCGCTTTCTCGAGAGTCAGAGTGTTATTCAGTTTTCCCGAAGAGAGAGGGAGACTATTAAAGTATTATAATTATGACTATGAGGTCAATCACAAGGTTAGGAAAATGAAGTACTGAGGTGTGTACAGCTTTATTGGCACAGCTGCTCGGAGTTTCCCCCTACTTTTCGTCGACTGCCGAATCGACAACGCTTTGAACTGAATATTATTGCAAGAGAAGAAAGACAGACACATTGGTTGTGAAGACGTATCCAATACAATGGGGACTTCCACTTTGCCGGAGAGACAGCCAAAATACAGTGAGTCATTCGAACTTCAACTGTTCTTTTGAAATGTGTACGGTAAATTCTTGTAGCCTTGTGAGCATTCAAAAATACCGGATATTTTGTGTGTTTCTCGAAGATGCTGTTTTTCTTCGCCCTTTCTTTCCTTCTAGTCTGCGCACCTAATAAATTCCACTGCTTGTAAGCCAGTGTAGGTAGGGTCCTGGTCGTTTGTCCCTACATGCACTTCAAGATGTGATGCGTGTTTGTTGCGTGAAAGGAAACTCAAACGGTTCTCGTATCTCTGGTGCATGGGTCATGGGACAGGATTTTCTCCACCATGACGTCAGGAATCGAACACATGTGCGTACAACTTCAAGCAAGTAACGTTAGTTTCCATTTCAATTTCAAGCTGAGTTGTGAAGTAAGTTACCAGGGAGCTGTATTACCTAGGGAGATGACGCATGCGAGTGGAATAGGACGTGATGTGCCTTTTGCTTCTCGACTTCCTGATCCAGTCCAGGCCCGTCGCACCGACTTTGGAGGTGGGGTGGCCATGGAAGGGGGTCCGGGGGTCCTCCCCCGGGAAAAAATTTCAAAAATTGAAGCCAATTGCAAGCATTTCCGGGTATTTGGTGCCATTTCAGTGTACGGTAACTACAATGAAAGTCTTTTTGATTCTGCAACAAACGAAGAAGACGCTACGATCGGGGACAAACATTACCCTCCCCCGGGAAAAAATTCAAAAAATTGAAGCCAATTGCAAGCATTCCCAGGCATTTGGTGCCATTTCAGTGTACATCAGGTACATGGACTTTTGGTCAGCAGGTCACAGGCTCTATTGCGATTGGATGGTATTGCGCAGATTACATAGAGCTGCTCAATTTGGGGTTGAGGTGCACATCATTTCGGGTAGGGCGGATCAACGGTACTTTACAGTACTGGTATTAAAGGGGAAGTTAAGGCAAAAATTAAAATTTCACCAGTAGTAGTCTTCGGGGTGCTGAGTCGAATGGTCTTGGTCCGAGAAAGCTGAGACGCTCCCTTCCTACGTCAGGCGAAATTACTGGTCAGTCGGCGACACGCATTTTTCACAAAATTTGCGTTTCACCTGCTGGGAGAGTATGCGTGTACTCGAGTCTCATCCTGAGCACGTTTTTTTCTTCTTTTTTTCAGCTCCAGTATAGCTGTATTTTTCATTGCAAAGCCGTCCTCGATTGTTGTGTTCGTTGTTCAAACGAAGTGGACATTCAATCATGAAGGCAGAGGACATAGGAGCCTGATTGGAGTTTCTCGTGGCATAGGACGGCCACACAGAGACACTTTGGGATTTTCTGAATATAAAATACCGTACGCACGATGCTGAGATCAATTTGTGCGATATCAAATTGTTTGTGATCTACCACATCGAGCAGAACGGGATCCAAAAACAAGCTTACCGACGGTTAGGCTGCCGACCTGACTGGACAAATGATCCCTGGCTTCACCAGACGCCAGAAGTCGGAGACCATGTCCTTTGCCGCGACGTCCATCTCCAAAAAGAACTCCGTCTTCGTCGTGAAAAGGCTTGAAATACTCAATATTCAACCGAGATTCG